AGTGCCTTTAGAAGGCTTTTGCCATCTTTACAGAAGGAAACACCTGCCATTACAATAAATCTAACCTGTCTTTTCAACTTGGGCAGGCAAGCTGTCGCTTATCTTCATCATCATGTTTATTTATATTTATTCACATCAACACTGAACAATAACAAACAATAATATATTTATAATTAAATTACAATTGATCCTTCAGTTTAAAAATGTTTGTGCTTTACAACCTCTAATAGCTCACTGCCTCCATTACCATTTCTCTCTCCTCTCTTTTACATCCCACTGCTATCCATTGCCTTCTTGGCTTTCTTGTCCGCCCCTTTAAACTTTAAACTCGACTTAAGTGCTTGTGTCTCTCCAGACATAGTGACAGCTGTGACTGAGAATGTGCTGCAGCAGTTTGACTCTAACCTCTTCTGTCGGTATGGAGTGAATATTAGCAGCATATGCGTGCCAATATTAGCTCCACAAACTAGTGGCAGGTAGCAGAAACAGGCCAAAGACAGCATGATAACATCGGGAAGATGATGGTAAAAGATCTCTCAATTTTGGGGGTAAAATACTGTCCCAGCTGTACTCCCCTGTGATTTGCACATCTCACCTAGTTCTAAGCTCCCTTCTATAATAGGCGGGCCCCTTTGAAAGCATTTGACTGCATTTCAAAACAAATTTGAAAAATGAGTCAGATTAAGAGTTTGCTCAAGACTAATCATATCTTTTCATTTTATGTCACAGGTCAGGGAACACTCAGGTGTTGAAGCTGGCAGTAATATCAAATGATCGTTTATTTGAACCTACAAATAAAGTAAAACACAAAGCAGTGCACAGAGGTGGCAGGAGTACCAACCAGTGAGAGAGACAAACGCAGCAGAGAACTCACAATCAAGAGGAAAATTAGACAACAGCTTTTTCAAGACTAACACACCATTTCCTTGTATTGACAACATTTAGGAAATTATACTGTACTCGTATATAAGGATTCTAAATATCACATGTATATAGTTTGTCTTCAAACATTTGACCTCTGACCTCACGTTTACATTTTTGCCTTTCCTTTAAGTTGGCCCTAAACGAGTTCTTGTTCAGGACTACTTTCATACTAAACTTCCTAAACTGACCCGTGAGATGTCTATAAATACAGCAGCAGGATTGCCCTCAGCCTGGATGCAATTATCTGGAATCGTTACTCTTGAATAGACCGGAAGTGCATCTCAGTTCGGTATTGGTGGATGGTTACCTTCACCCCTGTAAGATACGGTCCAAGATGGGAAAAAGTGCACTTAACAAAGCCCAAACTACCCCAGAGGCACTGCACAGCAGGCAGCACTATATGCACTATGACATTGCAGAAGAAATGTTTGAGTTGTGGCTTCCTTCTCAACAACCTTAAAGTGGTATTCCAGAGATGTTCACATCTGTGCTTTTATAGGACCTGAAGAATGTTAATCCTTTTAAAGAACTGGAAATTTGGGTTGCAATGTGGTACGCAGATGCACTGCACCTTTAGGCAGACCTAGACAGCTTAAATGAAAGTCAAAAGAAAGCTGACGTGAACTGGCATTGAGATCTCCTAATCCAGCTGATCTAAAAGCATTGCAACTGAGCTGCAACAAATGCTTTATTACAAATCAAGCACAGAAAGCGTGATATTGCTGACTGTCATCTAAAGTCATTATCATACTAACTGTCTCATTTACACTGCAGTACAATTATTTTGAGAGATTGTTTTTGTATAAAAGTCTTGAATCTTACCCATATGGAAAAGATATATGTAAATCTTATAAAGTTTGTATCTGTCTTGTGTGAAACTTGTATGAAAAGCATATAAGTGTGAAAACAGATATAAGATCCCTTGAAAAATTATATAATGAAACTTGTATGTTTTGGATACTTACTAAAACAATGTATGAAAGTAATGCGAAAGTGGCCACTTTCATGAGTAAATCATGTAAGCCTTATATGATTTACTCATGAAAGTGGCCACTTTCATGAGTAATCACATATAAGTTTTTACTATTTCTTTTCCGTATGGGTAGCCTCACCTGTTATATCAATCTCACATGAATATGTATGTCATCTGTCTGTTATATTGGTATATGCCATCTGATTTGCATATGTTCCAGAGTAGTGCATTTTTTATCAGTTGGACTGTGACTTTAACCTGGCTTTTAAAGCGATTTCCTTCCCTCCATAACAGCTAAAGTTTAAATAAGAGGCGCAAAAGTGCCAGACACTGTGGTGCAATAAGCCTATGTACAGCACAGTGGGAAGCCCATCAAACTGGATTCCTTCAAACTATGCAGTGAGGGCTATTTTAGTGGTGGTTCCCTGCTGCTATGTTTTTGGCTTGTTTCTGCTGGTAGAAAATTTTAAAGGGCTTCCAGTCCAGTGATGCAGAAATGACATAAAAATAATGTTTGAAAAAAAGGAGGTGTTTGACCTTGAGGCTTGAGACTGGCTGCTATCCTCAGAGGGCTGTCTGGCCTCTGACTGTGCTTGCACTCACATGCTGCTGCTGCTGTGCGTGTGTGTGTGTGTCTGTGTGTCTGTGTCTTAGAAATAAGGGATACAAGAGGAGGGAAGAACAGTGAAACTTTTCAGACATAAAACAATAAAACATATTTATCATTTACTCACATAAGTCTATCGGCTGCATGCACCTTATATCTATGTAACACTCATAGCTTCTCGGTGACAAATGCTTCAATTTTTTTTCTATCGATGTACTGTAAACATGTGCATGTGCATCTTATACTGTATGAAAAAGGAAAGAAAAACAAATAAAGTTACCTTTCATTGATTTGGTATGTATTTTTTTTATCAGTGATTCTGAGGAAAGCTTAACAGCAACTAAACTTGTTAACATAGTCTGTATATAAAAGATGGATGAACAATGCAGAAGCGCCTTAAAGCTGCAATTTTTCTAATGGCCAGCAGAAGGTGGCTCTTCTGGACTTCCAGTTGTACAGAAGTCTTTTGTTTCCTTGGCTTCCTGCTCCTTTTCTCATGGGCAGTTTTCCCAACTCTGCTCGGATCAGCTGGTTCATGCAGTGACAAAGCATAGGTTCATAGAAAGTTTAAGGAAGTTCCTTTGTTGGAAATGTAGCTTCGTTTTCTAAGCGGTGAACATGGCAGATTTGGTTCCAAATTATCACTGAGATGTGGATCATCTAATAGGTCCATCTTTCTCTTTAAAGCGATTCACATTAAGTAACTTCATAATAACACAAATACAAAGGTAAGTAAAAGTGTGATAGTAATCGGGGGGAAAAAAATATGGGAGACTGGCAGCTGAAGAGAAATCTACTCAAAGGGAACCCAGACAGAAAAAGAAAAAAAAAGCTGTGACGTTGTGTCTAGAATGACTCTGCAGTTAGTGCTTCTGTGTGTGTTTCTGTGTGTGCTGCTCTATACTCCAAAAATGGTTGCAGACACAAAGAAACACTGGCTCTCAGAGACACACTCATCCAGTGGACCAAAGCTTCCCTTTAATGCACACTTGTTAATTATTCACAGTATCCACCATTACAGTGCTACTGGGCCAGAGCCAAAAGTATGTGTCCCTGTTTTCCCACAGTACATCTGAAAACAAAAAACAGCTTTTCAGTCAAAACCAATGCATGTGCATTCAGGTATACAAAGCAACAAGATGTTTTATTTTCGGCACAAAGCAGCCATTTGTGACGTGCAGCTTCAGTCAGTTTTGGTTTTCAGCTGCAGTGCCAGTTTTTATGTGTATTTCAGGACCACGGACAGATACATATTAGAATTGGTGCTGTTTGTGCAAGAAGCAAAGATCACAGTTCATTTTATTTCAGCTTCTTTCAGCTTCAGCTATTTTCATTTTGGATTGCACTCAAGTACCTTTGCATGTTCCTAATAATACTTATCTTATTCTGGGTTCTTAGTGCAGCCCCTCAGTTCATCCTCTCCCCTTTGACAGACCTTTGTAAATGGAAAGCCTCAGTTATGTATTAGTTGACTGTATTATATATTATATGCACTATATGTTAGAATCCACCACCATAGTAGATCTCGTTGAAACCATATAGTGATTTATTTTGTAATATTTATATAGAATTATAAGTGACAGCTGGTTTTATTTGTTCAACATGGTTTTGTGATTGTCAGTAAAATAACTGTGCAAGTCAGACTTGGAGTTAATGATGTAATGGCCACTGGTAGAGTAAATATTGTATTATTTAGTTAATGCTTGTGTTTCATTGTTAAGATGACAAAATTATTATGTTAAGCTAGTTTTATTTTCGGCTGCTAATGGGAATTAATGGATGCAAATCCTCCATTTATTTTACTTAACAGATTATATTACCCTTTCAGCTTCTTTCCTTTTGCAGTACTCAAAGGAGCTAAGAAAGTCTGGCTCTTCGTGTCCCATGTGTTTGTAATAGTGGTGATGTTTCTGTCTTGTTTATGTGCTTGTGAGTGTGTTAGTTCAGTCCTGGCGTGTGCCTCAGCTGTTGGGAACATGCATCGATCCTCTAAGACACGTCTGTTGACAGGTTGTGTTGCCAGGGGAACCACAGATGCTGTCATCTTCTACTTGCGTAACCATGGTGATAGTCCCTTCAGCAGTGTGTTGTGTCTGCTTGCTTCACTGTCAAATGATAGGACAAAGACATACACAGCATGTGGAGGCAGGATTTGCGAAGCAGCACCCGTTTGATGGGCAGACATCTGACAGAGCAGAGCTACATACAGACTGACTGAGGTGCACTGTCTCGCTCTCCATGTGGAGCGCTCTAAAAGGACCCAGCAGAGCGCTCTGTATGATAGGGACAATGGGAAACTACAACTAGTGCAAAAGTAAAACAAAGAAAAATAAATATATCTCCTGTTCAGTGTAATGAAAAACATAAAGCTGTAACAAAGGTTCTTCATATACAGATACGCTTTGCAAATCTAAACCTAGAAAACTAAAGAGACAGTCGTTATATTCTTATATATTCAGCTGAGGATGACAGTGATAATGCTCTTTATTTCCTCAGGTCCAGGGATGATGTCATCAATGATGTCATCAGGAGGACGCCAAGACCCACCAGGACAGCCTGCCTTCAGCTCTGACTACCTGTCTGGTGAGGGTGAATGGACTGAAAGTCATGTAGTAGATAGTAATTTTATCACTCTGCCTACAGTCACAGGAGAAAACCTCTGTAAACACTTTGGTGATTCATTTTGGGCTCAGTCATCCACGGCATTTTCTAAAATCTGGTCATTCAAATTGTCAGAAAGGAGGTTTATGCAGGGTATGCTCATTGGCTAATGGCGTGTGATTGACAAAACGAGCTCTCACTAATCACATTGTGATCACATTCACCCCTTCACATCCATTCATACAAGCACTTTTTTCTGTGCTTTTTTTATGTAACTGCTTTTTATCTAACATCCACACACCCTCACACTCCGATGGATACAGCAGAGAGCAACTTTGTGGTTAATATCTTGCCCAAGGATATTTGGCATGCTGACTGAAGCAGCCAGGGATCAAACCATCAGTCTACCAATTAGTAGATGACCTGCTCCACCATATGTGAATTAAATTCAAAATGTAGCTGTTAAAAAGTTTGAAGCTAACAGAAGACTTCAGCAGTTGACCTATGTACCAAAGTTACATATTTATACCATAAATTGAGGTTACTGTGCCTCATTCAGGATTTGTTGCTTGTTAAAATGCAAAGAGGAATGTTTTTCCTTTGAAAGAAAAGCTGTTGGTTAACCTGCAGCCACTTTACTGAGCAAAAACTTTGCATTTTCCAATCTTCTCTGGTGTGGGGATTATAAAGTAAGTATGCAACGCAATTTATTATCATGCATCAATTGCACAGGAATCATGTACAAAGGAAACAGCGAGGAAAAAAAACATCCATTTTCAAAGTATCCTGTCAAAAACCATTACTGTGTGGTGTCTGAGGCTTTTGTAAATTTTTTGTTGCATATATATCTTTGTATTCAGTTTTTGTTACTCCATGCACCAAAATAAAATGCAGGTAGAGTTAGATGCTGATTTTATTTGCATTGGTTGACATTTGTTCTGCCCATTTGTTTGTTTATGTTCTGTCCCACTGCTTTATTTCTCCCTGCTCCTCGTCGTCTTCTTCTTTTTTCCACTCTGTTCATTTTGCTTCTCTCTTTGACTCTCGGTCCCCACTGTCCTTTCTCCATTTGCCAATTTTCTTTGCCTCTGTCTGTCCGGCTCTTTCTCTTGGTCAGGTCCTATGCGTGGGATGACAGATCAGTGGAGCCTGAACAAGACAAAGGACAGCAGCAAGCCTGACTCATTTCTAGGTCCATTTTACTTTTTCACCTTCTGTGCCATGAATACCTTTAACTGCAAACTAAGTAGCAGGTCACTGTATTTTGTCTCTTCTTGCTTTGAATCTAAATAAAATAAAAAAGACTCAAGAATCTGGTGCAGATTCTGGTATTTACTTTAATGTGGGGGTTTTGAAATAAAGATGGGGTTAAAATTGCACATACATGGTCAGAATCCTGCATATAGCATATCTAATATTTGTTTAAATATGCCTTAGTAAGTTTTACTGTCACCGGGCACTTTTAGTACTAATCGAAAGCTGTAAAGGCGTTTGGCAGAATTATAATTGGATGCATTTCATCCATTTCACCACTTGCTTCTATGTGAGTCTGCCTCATTCACAATTACATCCACTCTGTTCTGTGTACTTGTGCCACTGGTACAAAACAGCCCCTGAACATGATGCTGCCACTACCATGCTCCAACAGCTGGGATAATATTCTTGGGGTTGAAAGCTTTATCATTTCACCTCTCATCCGAGAAACCTCTGCAGTTGTTCAGTTCAGAATTGAAGTCTTTTTTTTTCAATAATTGAAACATGCCTACTTTACACACACAGTCATCACACTACAAACAGTTTCTACCTCTCTGTCAGTGCAACACAGCAGCCTACAAACCTATTGAAGAGATGTGGGCAGCTAATCTCCGAGCAGACAAACCGCTTAGACACTGAATTAATTACTTAATTAATTAATGAATTATTAATTATGTGACAGAGAAAGTGTTCATAGGAGTTTTTGCAGGCATTTGACAAAACTAAGTACACCCCAAGAGGGAGAATCTTTTTCACACTCTTCTTTACAACATCGCTTCAGTTCTTTGTGCTTTGCTGGGATTTGCTTATGCACAGCTCTCTTAGGTTCCTTCCTCACTATTTCAGTCAGGTTGAGGTTTCCACTGGGTATTTGCATCACCTTAATTCTTTTCCTTTTCACCGTTGTGTTGTTGCTAGTGTGCTTGGGATCCTTGTCCTATTGCATTACCTAATTTTAGCTCTTGAACATGTAAATTATAGTCAAATGTGAGGCAACATTTTTATAGAGAGGCGTTCTTAGCTTTCTCAGTGACTGAAAGGTAAAACAAGGCTAAATCATCACCCTTCCAAGACAGTGCTTGACAGTTGGAATGAGGGATTTGTGCTAATATGCCAGGTTTGGTTTTTGCCAAACATGGCAGTCAGCATTCTGCACTTTGGTCTCTTCTGGTCAAAGGACATTATTTTACAAGTCTTGTGGTTTGTTTAGATATAACGTTACCATCAGTATTTAACTTCTCTCCCAGCTGCATGTGGTATGAGTATATAAAGTATACAACATTCAAACAGACAGCTTCCTGTTGGTGATGTAGCTCCTTGCTGTTTCTCTCCATCAGGCTTTTCTCAACCTGGGATTGGAGGGACCATGGGGTCCAGTATGCCACCCTTCCAGACCAGTATGAGCACTACTCTTGGCCAGACTGGAATGAGTCCAGCTATGGACACCCAGAAAAGTTCAAGCCATTTTGGTGTGGAAAGCAAAACCATCAGTAACACCAGTGGGAGCAGTCCCTTTAAAAGCAGCGATCCATTTTCTTCCGGTGGCATGGGAATCCATTCCATGAATCACTCTGCAGGTATCACACTGGAGCTTGGTTGCACGTAATACTGCATTCTGGGGCAGCAGGGGAGGGGGGAGTGAAGGACCAGTGAATCAAAATGTTAATATTGATTCAATATCGATAATATATAAAGGACTCATAAACTTTCCCAGACCAAATGGGTTTGGTTGCATGTCTAACACAGCTATAGCAACAAGTGGAGATCACGGATGGAGTTCACGGTCCGTGAACATCACATTTAATTTAATAAAAGCTGAGATGTTATGCTATTCTTGCTTTAATACTACTGAAGAGACGCAAAGGCAGAGCAGGAGGGAACAGTGGTGACAGGAGAAGTAACACCCTGATCACACAGGCCATGCTTTCAGCAGCAGAGGGCAGTCTTTTCTAGTTTTCACCGTCACTGGAACACTCCCAGCTCTGCTGTTTTGTTGCTGGTGACCTTATTGCTTTACACTCTGTGCACCCGGCTACTGTCCTTATCATCAATCGACAAACTGGATCAACAGACAAATGAAACAGTGACCATTTTAAATAATGTAGCTCCACACAGTGTTCATTAGTTCCTGCAGTGAAGAGAAAATAGTAGCCTAACGTAGATTTAGTACACCACATGACATTTGTAGTTGTCTTTATTATGAATTTCTAATGTTTATCATAATCAGTAGCAACTGGGTGTCAACTAAATTTGTTGTTGCCAGGTAACAGAAACACAAACCCAGAGTAGTGCATCAGAGTTTTCCTGCTCATGTAATTGTACATTTTAGAAACTAGAATAGAAACATGCATATTCTCCTGCAAATGCTTTTATATGTCTTCATTATGTTGTCATCTACATCTAACTCTAGATTCTGCCAAAAATCAAACCCTGCTATCAAGAGTCAAAAGAAAATGGCCTGCAAAAAAACAACTAAAGGGCTCTAAAGCCCACACTTGAACTCTTATACTGACTTTCCAAGTTTCCATTTTAGGCAGAACTTATTAAACATTTAGTAATATTTTTATTCATTAGCTTTTCTGTATTCTGCTTGTTGGTGTACTAAAGATAGTCCTTCTAGCTTAAAGCCAGCTAACAGTTATGTAACAGCTTCTATTGAGTTAAGTCCCTGTCTCTCAGCAGATCTCATGCATCAGTGACCCAATGAATATATATACTAGATACTTTCAAAATTGCTCTTCTAAAACCAAAGGTGAGCTCAGCTGTTAGCCATTAAAGGCTACTGTAATGGATGCATTTGTACACCACAATTGTTGCAGCAGCTAACATATTTTGCAGATAATTACAGTTTGTTGAGCCTTATCTATGTTAAATTCTTCTCAAGTAAGGACAACAAACATATGTTCAGAGAACATCACAATGTGCATTATGTCAATACCTGATAAAAATCTGAAGCTGTGAGCTAGCTAGCTTTATTTGGCTATTGATGAAGCTTTCTCCTACTGGCTGAAAATTGGTAGTTGGTCCTTCTCCTTTTACATCAGTGTTTCCAAACCACTGTGCCGCGAGAAATGATCGGGTTTGCCCTGGAAGATTATCTGGTTCTACCTGATTAGGACTCTTAAGCAACACCACCAAACCAAAAGTGTCACAAAAAGCAATTTGATGATCTTCCCCCGCGCACCAGGTATAGCAGAATGGGCTCAATTTGTCCCCAGTATACCTTGTATGCTTTCTTCTGACCATTACTCATGCTAGGGCCTTCATCTGGGTCAGAATTTTCTCCAGGACTCAGGTCAGATTGACTGCTTTATCTTTTCAAATATTTATCTATTGCTATTATAAGCTGCATGGTCTCAGAGCATGACTATTATGTAATTTCTGTTTTACTGGCAGTTGGCAACCCATTTAATTAGAGCAGGTAGTTGTACTGCCCTCTAGTGGAACAGAATGTAATTGGTCTGCCCATTAGTCACGCTGGTCGTTTAGAGCAGCGGTCTCCAACCTTTTTTGTGCCACGGACCAGTTTATGCCCGACAATATTTTCACGGACCGGCCTTTAAGGTGTCACGGATAAATACAACAAAATAAAACTAGCACCGGCACCGAAAAAAAGAAGATTTATTCATAACACACGTGAAAAGACTCAGGAAAACCGAGTTAACGCTAAAAACGATAACAAAATAACGCTGAAAACCAGACATTTCACCCCTGAGCCTCAACTCTCACGGCCCGGTACCAAACGAGTCACGGACCGGTACCGGTCCGAGGCCCGGGGGTTGGGGACCGCTGGTTTAGAGTACTCATCAGGTGGAATCAGATAATCTTCCACGGCACACCTGATCATTTTTCATGGCACACCTATGTGCCGCAGCACAGTGGTTGGGAAGCACTGCTCTAAGCGACCCAGATGAAGGCCCTGGCATGAGCAGTGGTCACAAGAAAGCAAAAAAGGTATATTGGGGACAGACCGAGCTATACTTGGTCTGCGGGGGAAAATTCTCAAAATGCTTTTTGTGACATTTTTTTTGGTGGTGTGCCGTGTGATGTTTCTAAAGTGAAATATGCGCCGTGGCTCCAAAAGGCTGGGAAACACGGTTTTACATAACCAAGGTGAAAAAATGTAACCTTCCTGCTTGACAATCCTGCTTGTCCCCTCACTCAGAACTCATCTGCTGTCCCTCAATTTCTCTTAACAGTTGTTAACAGTAAAGGACAAGCAAATGTGATAAAAGTGCAGACTTTCAGGTTTAATTTAAGAGTTTCACAAAATATATTGCATTAAGTGTTGGGATGAGACTCTATGACAGAGACTCTATGGAACTGCAAATATGTGGTACAATGAGATACTGATGCAAGTGAGGAAAGGCCATCGTCAGACTGACAAATCCAAATAAACCTGTCAGAGAGATAAAAGAAGCTAGCAAACACTTTCAGAGTGGCTAAATCAACAGTCTGCTGCAAAAGAAAAGATTTTCTCAAGGCAAAGAAATAAGATATTCATCTAGACTTTCATCCAGGCGTTAAAAACGGAAAGAAAATGTAGTGTAGAATTCCTAATGTAATTCATCTGTAATTCCTGAACAATTAGTGCAATCCTTTTGTAAAACCCTTGAATAAAAGTCTACACTTTAGTCACATTTTGATTGAATTATTTAAAACCCACTGTGGTGGTGTCCAGAGGCAAAGACGCACTCTAACTAACTGTAAGTACGAAGTGAGAAAGCAGTAATGTCATTCCATTGACGCCAAATCATAATTTCCTGTCGACACAGTTGCCAGAAACATCTTAAAAGTTTGTTTTTTGATTGTCCCACATTATCTTTAAGCTTCAGTGAGCATGAATAACTCATCCCTGTCGGCAGGCAGAAAACAGAAACCCAAATTTGGGGTGATGGCGAGTCATGCCCCTCCACTTCCTCCTGTCTCACATCACTGGGTATCTAACGAAGCAACAATAAAAGAGCAAAAAAACAAAAACATGTTACTTAAAGTCACAGGGGGATTAAATTGGATCTGTCTAGGCATTGGCACAATTTAGGAATTTACATTCATGGAAGTGTCATTGCTGAGGTGCTTTATAAGTATGGAAAATAGTCATTTATAACACAAATTCTGTGTGTCTTTTTAAGTTGTGTCTACAACTCAGTGTGGGGATATTTCTGCAGGATACTGATGACACATTTTCCAAACATGCTTCTATTCTTCTGCGTTTACTATCCTGTGTTTAAGGCTTGCAGTCCACTGCGCTCCTGCTCTGTCTGCGGTAAACCTTAAATAGAATTTGGCAAATTACAGCTCATACTGTGTTTTTGCATGGGTCATGTGTTCAAAGCAGCCCATGCTCCAACCTTAATGTATTTCATGGCGGTTTGCCAGAGTCCAGATTAAGAAGTACTCCCATTAAATATGTTATCCTATTAAATATAGATGATAATATCCCTGGTCTTGTCTTCCTTTAGTGTTGTTTATAGCAGGGCAAGCATCAGGTTGTTGGGAGAAAATAGCCAAGTCAATCAATTAAACCATGCTGGCAAAGGTGCCAGATTTAGAGAGGTTTGCACCTTTTTCTGGATTTCCATTAATAAGTAGTGATGTAAGACTGCAGTTAGGATGATGAAAACTAGAAAAAATAATAATATTTTAGACTGGAAGAAGAGCCGATGAGCAGTCATAGACTATTTTACAGTTTGCCTGTTTCTGTCTGTTCATCTTACTGTTTCTTGTTCTCTCTGAGCTGATGACGTGCTTGTCAGAAATAATTGAGAAATATGGATTCAGAGGAAAAAGCCAGAGCCAACTGCGATGCCTTCATTCCTCAAATAAGAGAAGATAGTGGGAACAGACAAATAAGAAGATCATTTCAGTGCAGGCTGAACATTTTTTGCTTTGTCTGCCATTTGATCGTTTTGTGATTCCGCAGTGCGTTCCTAACGCTTAATGTGATTTGAGTGCGTTTGAATGTGCACTTAGTAGACACGCATGTTTTTAATTTTGTTCTTGCATGCTAGATCCTGTGTTAACTGTGCTTGGTATATTTGTCTGTTTAAGTTGCTTCAAGGTTGCATTGCTCTCACAGTGTGCTTATTTTTCTGTGGCGTGTGTGCGTCCTCCCTCTAAGAGCAACTTTGTATCCTGGATGGTGGTGATGATGATGTTTAAATATTCAGAATTATGCATATTTGTGCAAAAGGACACTTGCATCACACATTTACTGGTTGACTGGCACTTCCTTTCAGACTTCACTGGCAATTTGGAAAACAGAAATCTACACCAAACTATATGACCAACTTTCAGTTTTGACTTCCTCTCATTTTACATTATAGTTATTATCATAAAGAGTAACAACTAAAAACAACATTACCCTTCATGCACACAAATGTGCATGTCAATCACAGTCTAACTTGGTCCTAAAAGGTTCCCTCAAACGTTGTTGTCAGTGAAATTTTAGTTTACAGTATATCCAGTCAAATCCAGGCAGCTGGGACACCAAGCAAATATATCTAATGCCTGGTGTAAAACAGCATCTATAAAACGTTTTATGCACGTGTGATCTATTATAGTCTTTACAGAACCATAGACAAAACAACAGGTGAGTAAAGCAAATACAGGTTGAATGTATTTATAAAAGCAGGCACCATCACATACAACTTACTGCAATAAATTGTTGAAAATGTTGTGCCTAAAAAGAGCCTAAGAGCAGTCAGACTATGGTTACTATCACTGGAAACCAACCCAGCAAAACAAACTTCACTTCATGATTTTATGTGCATTTCCTGGTTGGCATGTGGCATACCACTAGTACACAAGGCGGGAATTTATTGCGTATTATAGCATGTAGCCACGTGTGCTTTCCAAATGCATTGCTAATACATCTTCTATAGTACCAGCTTAGGTGTTTCTCCTGTCCAACCATATCATGTGATGTCACTAAAAATAATCTGTCTTCATCCGGTTGTTATTTTACAGTTTATGTACACCACACCGAAATATTTCAGCAGGTAATAAATTTAAACGAGTAACATTTTAAAATAAGTTATGTTCCACAAAAATATCTGTTCTTTGTTTTTTGGGGGATGAGTCAAGGCTCCAGGTGACAGTAATAACAGACGTTTATTATTTACAGTATTTGTTAAGCAATGAGAATAAGTATAGTTCAGTAAGATAAACTCATAGAAGACACTTATCTCTACAAATAAACAAATTTAACATTAGTAGGAAATTAGTCCAGCTTTGCTCAATTAATGTGCATAATTGAACTTATTAACAGGATGCGAAGAACTAAAAGCTATCACTGAATGTCAGAGATGCCTCTAACTTGCATTGCAGAGATATCTACTGAAGTTAACTCTCATCAGGTAGTCCTCATCCAGGGACTCATGTGATACCTTTTTGGTACCCAAAGATGGCCTAAAGAGTAGGCTGCCCTCAGTGCAACTTGAAAGGACCAAGAAGTAGCGCTGCCTAAATGTGGTATTTTTCTTTTGTAGAGTCTGTAGCTAATATCAAACCTGAACTTCGAACAATTTTTAGTTAGCTATGTTGGTGTAGTTTTCACACACGTCCTTTCTCACATGTAGCACACATCAGGGAATACTCTGGATGCAAACTACTCTAATTACTTTGGTTTAGACAAAAAAACTACCTGAATCATGTTGAAGGACAGGTAGTCAGTGCAACAGTAAGGACAGTGAGGGCTTAAGCTCTTGTAATGCACCCACTAAAGAGCACTATTAACAAGACAGCTTGCTGGTTAGAGTTTGTTTTTAGCCTAAAATTGTGTAGCTTCTTTAACGTATCGTCAACCACAATGGTCGTTAAATCATTTTGATTGTATAGCAGCGTCTGGCAATGGTAGACATAACAGACTGGGGGTTTTGATGAAGTTAAGAAATGTCAGCCTGGAAAGCACAACTTAGGATATCAAGCACCACTGAGTGCTCTTGTGAAACCACAGAAACCCTTTCTAAGGTAAGATACATATCTTGCATAAGTTAACCCAACTGCGTAAGAGGGGGGAAAAATGTCTGCTTTAGCTTATTTCATAAAAACTCATATTTCAACATGAATTTAGAGTAATCCTATTATCTTCACTACATCAACTTACTTTCACTGTCATAGATGCAAGAGTTATTTACCAAAATAGCTGGTACACCCAGTTAAATCAGATTTAAACCTGAAATAACGAGTACAGCTATAGTAACCATAATCTGATGGCTTTTTATCAGGTGTTTCTCTGACACAGTATGTGATTGGTTCCTCCTCTTATAAAACCCTCCCCCTCGGCAGCTCCCATCCTCTCTCCCAGCGGCTCAGTGGATGACAGCAGTGCTACATCCTCCAACTCTGAACCCCTCAGCCCTGACAGAGCAGGGCCGGGGAACGAAGCCGGCAAGCAGCAGCAGCGGCGACGGAAGAAGAAGAGGAAGGGCCGTGATGAGGTCTACGACTTCTTGGATAGCCAGGAGAATAACATCAGCAGGATGCAGGATAAAGGCAGAAGGGAGGTGGAGGAGGACGAAGATGAGGAGGAGAACTGGGAGTGGGAGATCAGAGAGAGTGGAGGAGGGGGTAGGGTAAAAGGCAGAAAGACTAAGAGTCGGGCAAGACTTCCAGAGGAGTGGGGAGCTCCACAGCAGCCTGTCTCTCCCACACCAGCTACAGTTGCCCCTAAGTGGGCTGCAGGTGCTGACATTGGCTCTAGTGACCCCAAAGCTCCAAACTCCATCCCCAGCCCCACTCTACCCTCTGCCCCTGAACAGATACCCACAAGTTTTACCAACTGTTCCCATGTTGGCCAAGTATCAGATTTGTCTTCGCGCTCCTACGAGCCTATGTGTTTAGATGACTTTTCTGTGTCTGTTAAAAATGGGCAAAAGCCCATTGAAGAGAGAATGTCAGCCAAACCTGAAAACCATATTAGCACAGCTGCTAGTACAGTCACCAAGAATAGTTTAGCTGGGGATGTCAGCGGTAGCCTAGCACTAATGACAGGGGACAACCTAAGCCCTGTCTCCCAGACCTTCTCTTTCCTTGATTCAGTTCTCCAGACCCCACCGGGTTCCACTCCCGACTCCCAGACAACCACCCCCATCACCAACACAGCCTCACTTGCTCCTGCTTCCCTCACAAAGTCAACCCCAGTAGAAACCACTGTCCCTGCTTCACAAGCTGCTTCTGATTTCAACCCTTTCAAGAGCACTTCAGACCTTCCCCCCACTGTGTCCACCAGTCCATCACCTTTAACTTCAGCAGAAACATATCCTTCAGCAGCCATAGCTGGATCGGCCCTCAATGTCGATGCCAAGCCTTTCATCCCCTCAGCCACACTAATGTCCTGCACAGCTACCCCCAGTAATTCGGAGGCCACTCCTGTTGTTAGAACAGCAGCAGTGGTCTCCACGGGAACCGCCGGTCCTGCATCCTCTACCACTTCAGCCACACCTCTTAATTCCTCAGCTGCTTCCTGTAAGAAAGAAGCCACCCCTGCATCGTCATCACCAGACACTCCCCCCAAATGCGTACCAGTGTCCCTTAGCTCAGCCACACCCCCTCCTCCCATCACCCAAGCAGCCCCTCCCTCTCTCCCTGCACACTCAGACCACCAGGAGTCCTCGTCGCCACAGCTCCCCCCATTGGAAGGTTGGTGAACTACAGGGAAGATTATGAATAACATGGAGCTAATTTAAAGAAAAGTGATTGTAGGCTAGAATAGCAAGAAGTAGTGATGTTTGTCTCCCTGTATGCATGGCTCTTTGCCTGCTTGGTGCTCGATCCTGTCGCCTGCGAATCCGAAATAACCGGGGCCCGACAGATATATCCAGAACAGCTTCTGTTTAATCAGCTTTTAAGATATTTACCTTTACGACAGATAAACATCTGCTCTTTGTTACTACTGCAAATATAATCTGGAAAATATCGCAGACAGAAATTCATTTGTGTCCAAATATAATAATATCCTATGCTGCCAGCATGACTATGGGACACAAATGTACTGTGCTGGTCGGGCCCTACAAACCTGCCAGGGTAAACTGTCTGATTGGATTTTCCTCTGCCTGCCTCTGTGTATCTGTTACTGTGATCATAACAATTTGATAATACTTGACCTGCTGCTGATAGCTGCTGCCGTCTATGCTTGCTCCACTGTCTACTGTTTCATGTGATTGTCAGCTGCTATGTAACCTACCACTATCTCCTTTTTGTCTGTAAAAACACACATAACCTGGGTCGCTGCATGGAAAAGCCAGTTTGTCAATGCCTTTCAGATTCAGTCAGTAACTTTGTAGACTTTAATCATCTGCATAGAGGCAAATTAGTGTATGTAGAAGAGGCAAGGTGTGGCCGTGACCATAGACGTCATATAAAAGATGGACAGGATGTAGCCACTGTGATGCCATTTGTTCATTTGCAAACTTTAGAGGTGTGTTTCTGCTGTCATGCTGCCATCTTGTCTTTTTGATGCCAAACTGTGAAATTAAGCAGGACTGCACAGTCATAGGATTGCAATGTGTCAGTCAAAATCAGGCTGGAACTAAAGCATAACCTTGTTATCTGAACTAATAGTGACTCATCAGAAAAATGTCAGCTGAGGTCACAGAGCGAGGGAGCCCTTAGACTTCTGTACTTCCTTTTAGACACCAGGAGTTACCACTTCCTGAGTATCAGAAAGCACTTGATTTTTCAGATGCAAAGGCTATGCCCATCTTTTATACACAGTCTATGGTTGTGAACAAGAAAACTGGAAAATGTGTTACAAATTCATCTTTCATTTATTTATTAGGTCGATAAGGCACAAAACCCAGTTTTTTATTTTTTCACCTCTAAAGTTTTATTTTCGCAGTGATTTTCAGTAGTGAATTCTATTGCAGGTGTTTATTATAAACTATATATGACGTGTTATATGTTAAAGATGCATTACTCCATTCAGCTATTTTCTAAATTCTCTACAATGTAGTATTTGACCCAAAATGAACCAAAAAATCCTCAAATCTCTACTACTTTGAGCCACAGGATGTGACCTTCATCATAAAGTTACCCATGTGTCACCTGTGAGTGACCATATTTTCACATTAAAGTCAAGTATCGGTCTCTGAACCATTTTCATGTCCCTCATTGTTAGATTAAATCTTGTAACAAGGGACTTCAATTTATTCTTTATATTTCATTGGCCAAGAATTAGGGGATCTAAAAAAAGATCAAACGGTGGCCCTCACCGCAGCAATGTGCTCCGATGTGATCAACTCAAGAAAATACCAGCAAAGAGGAAAATACTGTAAAACACATAACAGAAGTTGGATAAAACACAAGTGAAACAGAAAAAAACGGCACAAAAATACCAACTTAAAAACACAACAGAAGTGTTTTTGGGGAGACAACAACGTGGACGCAACAGTTACAAAATTCACAAGCTAACAGTAAACTGCTAATAGCAAACACATATGTGCAGTTTTTATGTGAATCATATGATAAAAACACACAGACTCCTCTGTTTCTCTCATGCATGTCTCAGTGCAGTCCTTCACATGTTTTGGTTTCTGTCACATTCATATCGTAACACTTCTCTGCTCTTGTTTTGTGAGATTTTTTTCTAGTTCCACTCTGTTTTATTCAGCTTCTGTTGTGTTTTGTGTGTTTTTGTAGTATTTTTCTATTTACTGGTATTTTCTTAAGTTGCAGTCTGTTTGACCTCTCAGGACCACCAATCTTAAACATAGTTAATTTGTAGGTACGGAGGAATTTATATTTTTGCTCAGGTCATACTTCAGATTACAATCTTTGTTTTTGCATTATTATCCTGATTAGAAGTAACCTTCATGTAACAGGATTTTCCCCTGTTGTTATTACAACAGACAGGCATATCCATCCAAATCTAACCAATCACCAGCCACATAGTAACCTGCAGTTTACTGTCCAGTGCCTGGTAAGGCCTGCCTCCTGTAACCTGAGAAAAACCCTGATGGCACCTCATTCTAGTACTCCTTCCTCTTACTTGAAATGCCTGCATTCTAGCCTGATCACTCTGTCGCTACAGACTACATCTCGTACCCTCCTTATGAAGATTTACTTTCTACTGTAATTCCCTGTGCTTCGCTTTAGTCCCGACCTTAAGCCACCCTGACACTCCTGGTGAAATATGTGTTTAATGCTCTTTAGATAAAAGGTTTTGTCAAGTAGCTAGAATTGCGTCTGTCTCTTCCACACAGATCTTGGCCTGAGCGAAAGTTTTCAGGTACATGACTCAATACTCGAGTCTTATTTTAGCGAGAGAGGTCTTAAAGCAGAGGGATTGTTAGAGCTGACGTTGGAGAATTGTGTATAAGACAATGGAGTTAATTCTAAAGCGAGTAAACTTGATTTTTTTCTCTCTCCCTTTCCATTTTTTCTTTTTCATAATGCCACCAACAATGTAACCTCCACAGGTAAGAACAAGTTTCCCTTTTCCCTTTTTCTTCTTTCTGACCCAGGAAGTTTGCACATCCTTATGTTAGATCATTTTGGGGATGTTTAGTATGCTTGTCCCTGTGTTTGTTTGTGGATGTGGATGACAGTGAAGTATTTAAATACACAGAACACAGAAAATGTATTTTATTTCTAAAAGTGAACTGAGGGATGTTCCTGTGGTTTAAGATTCTTAAAGCTAATTTAAGATTTCATCCACCTAGCCCAGCATACATCACCACATTACCTTCTTTAGGTGAAAACTGTACACTGTATGTATCTCAAGTCTAAGGTTCATTCCCTCCTTTGTAAGATGGGGTCTGACGAACTCACTAATGTACATGGAAAGAATGCCTGGATCTGTCCATTTATAGTCCAGTTTTGACCTGGAGACTAATGTTTAAACCAGAAATCTCATAGAAAATACATCTATAATTCATTTTCATAAAGATATAAGTAAACAACCAGTGACTTTGAATGACTAAATAAATGTAAGTGATGATACTTGGCACTCTCTAAATGGGTTGATTTTTATGGTGCCTAAGTCAGCCCCACATCCTGTACGACTCTTCAGCATTACAAATACAGTGATGATGTTTGCAGGGCTGCGATGATTTTTCACAGATTTTTCCTTAAGTTTTTATTCCACAGTTCAAATTTGAACTGCACATTTCCCATTGTGTTTGCAGAAAACTTTATGGTTTGTTATTGCTACGATTTAGTGTTACCAAAAATCTCAATGACATTTCCTAACAAAAGCTGGAAACGACTGAAATCACAAATTTATTCAGCTGTTTGTTGCAGGATGTGTTTAATGTGGTTCACTACACATTACAGTACTTGGAAGACAGTTGTGTTGCATTTGACATGTATTTCGCGTGGTTTACTGTGAGACTGACATCACTATGTAAGGCATAGTGATGTATTGATGTTTTTTTTGAATGACCACAGTTATAGTGAATCTTTCTCATCCAACTTGTATCCTGTAGCTTGTATTTCTGTGTTTGCTGAGAGGCAAAAACGCTAATGCTGGAAATAGAACAGCTCTAATAAATAATTTAAAGTTACTGTGAGAGTCATGTCCACGGTGAGTGTATGTACATTTTTCACCACAACTGTACATTATTTCCTTTGGGAATTAGTAGAGATCAAAAATGGAGTTATTAAAGAGTCTGTTTGAGTTTACCTGAAACACAACTTCTATGTGACTGCTTAAAATGGGCAGGGTTGTATCCACAACAACATAGAATCAGTGATTGCAGGTTAAATGATTAAAAATATATTTTTAACAGTAGTATTTCAGTAATATTAGAGACAACCAGCCACCCTTCCTCCAAAGGGTGTCTGGTTGTATGGTTGCTGCTGTGCTCCGATGTGATCAAATATTAAATATTAGATATTAAAAATTGCTGCTGTTAATGACCTTGTGTGTTAGTCTCTTCACTCTGTGTAATTTGGCCCAGACTGCGCAGGTTGTATGTTTTTATTACCCAGCCAGTCTGGGAGTTTCTCTCTCCTGACTTTATCTTGACTCCATCTATTTTTAACTCTGCATCTTTCTCTCATATACAATATTGATGACAGTGACTGTTTCACCCTTATGTAAGGCGAACACACCCTCATTTTTTCAATGTGCATGTAGTCCGAAAGAAAGAAGAAATTGTTGTCGTTCCTGCTGTGTCAATGTGTGTGTGTGAGACAAAGAGTCTCTGGTATGCAAAGCAAAGTGGCAACCATCTTTTACCTGATGCTGTGTCCTGGATTCGTCCTTGAGAGAGAGCCAGGGAGATTAAATCAAAGCAAATTCTAGAAATTGAGATAACCACCGGGAAACCCAGTGTGTTGTGGTTGGCTGTGTAACACTGCATACAGTCATGTTGCAGTCTGTGTCGGCTGTTAAGAAGGTTGCTGTTGTAGAATCTCAGCCCTGCTCACTGGCTCCATCAGGTGCCTGCTACAGAAATTACACCTATGAACCACTGAAATCATCACCAAGAAACATGTGCACGTGTCATAATATTGTCGTGTCTCGGCATAACTGTAAATATTCTTTTTTAGTTTTTACAAAGCATTGTTTCGTCACATTCATTTGGCAAAAATCCAATTTTGGTTCTATTTTTGAAGCATTTTATGGTCTAAAATGTAGGACAGAGGACAGAGAGGACAGAGTCCATCTGACTGAGTCACCTTAGTGTTGTTATCAA